GCGGGCCAGGGTACTCGAGCTGGAACGTTTGCTTAGCCCGAGTTGGGGGTGCAACGTGAGGATATTAAAAACATATAAAATATTCTAAAAACAATTATTTGAGATTTGTTTTTTTATATTTTCTATCATTTTAAAAGAAATGAAAATTGTTTTAACCGTAAATACTTATTTTTACAATACTCCATCTTTGTTGGATTATTTTAAAAGTACCCACACTCACAAGATGATTTTCTAAAATCCAGTTTTTTAACTACTTGTTTAACCTCATGTTGATGTGTTTTGCTTAATATTAATTTAAACATACATTTCTTTTCTTTTTCTATTTTTTTTGACATTTTTTTATTTTTTAACCATTTTTTTGTTGTGATAGTACTGTAAACTACTTGGGCTGAGTTACTCAAACTCGATCTGAGTGCTCGGATTGGGCATGCCCGAGTAGTAGTTTCCAACACTAGTTTGTATCAGATGTCCACCTGATAATAAAGTACACTTCTAAATTTTGGCGGAAGATGCAGTTGTAGTGTTAGAAATCTACAATAGCTTGTAAATTCATTTCAACCCTAATTACAAAATTTAAAATTCTAAAAAATTTACAAATCAAGAAAATTTATAAACATTTAAAAATCTTGAAAGTACACTATCTAGATAACTTGTTACAAGACACGCTACTTTTTAGACTTAAAATTTCTTCTTTTTTTTTTTTAACTTTATATTCATACGTCTCGATGCGAAGATCATGGGTTTTTCAAATTCGAAACGCTCCTTTGGATTTTTGAAGTGTAATAATAAAGTTGCAAGCTAACGTAAACTTTTTGCAAATGGAAAACTCGAAAAAAGTGGAAGGTTTTCAGCTAGTTGAAAAAAGGGAAAATATCTCTATAGACCCCATTTTCAACTTTCATTTCTCCATTGACCTAAGGTTGCGAAACTTATCTTACTACATAGAAATTCACTCTAATATATCTCCTAACCCCCTGAACATATTTTATTCATTTTTTACTAATTTTTTATGACCTAAACATATTTAAAAAAGACCTTTTTTTAAAACCCCTCTCTCTTGACATTATTCCGTTTTACTCTCCCCCGATCAACCTCCCAAATCCCTCTCTCTCTCTCTATCTCCCCCAACTCTTTAGACTCAGGAACCTAAAGTTGGGAGCTCGAGCAGGGCTTCCAAGAGCTCTTATTTGTGGGGACGAGCTCTTATTTATCATCATCTCCACTCCTCTCTTGAAACCCTCTCCCTGAGCTCGAAACTCTCTCCCCTCCTCTTTTGAAAGCTTCCCTCCAATATGACCGGAAATTTCACCCATCTCCGCTATCTCAACCTCTCTTTTAATGCACTGTCTGGAGAGATTCCTACCAGTCTAGCCCAGGCACCGGAGCTCACATCCCTCTTCCTCAACAACAACTTCTCTTGCAATTTACCTAATGGCTTTGGCTCCAATTCTTCCATAGCTACTTAGTTGTTGGATTTTTCTTAGAATTTGAATGGGACTTTTGCCTGAAGACCTGGGTGGCAATATACAGTACCTTAACCTTTCATGGAACCACTTTTCCAGTGAGATTTCAGCAAGTTTGGATCAAAATCCATAATCTTTTTTCGGAAATCCAGGCCTTTGCGGTAGGGCGCTGAAGAATCTTTGATATGCACCTGCAACTCTCTCCAATTCACCCCCCAATTCAACAACTTCACCACCTGCCATTGCAGCAATTCCTAACACTCTTGGGGCTTAGCTCCTATTGCAACCACTGTAACCAACAAAAATGGCTCAACAGTTGTGACTAGAAACCAGAGCAATAACAAAGGGTTGAAACCAGGGGCCATTGCCGCAATTGTGGTTTGAGCATTTGCAAGTCAAGGGCTTCTGGCAATAGTAATCCTTGACAACTACAAGGTCAAGAATCAAAAGGATGAAGTTAAAAATGGGATAAGTTGACTAGGGAGAGAGTTTCGAGAGAGAGGCGTGAAGACGATGACAGGGGAGTGGAGGTACTTTGTAGCAAACAAGCTTTCTTCTCAATAAAAGAGGTGGATTAGGGCTTAACAGTTGATGGCAGGTGGAGGAGAGAGACGGCGGGTGGAGGAGAGAGGATGATAGAGAGAGATAGCGGGTGGAGGAGAGAAAGAGAGAGGGTTATTAGAGAGAGAAAGAGAGATGGAGCTGTTGAACATGGACATTCTAGAGAGAGAAACACACGAGAAGAGAGATTGACAACGTGAGGACAGAGAGAGTTAGAAAAAAGATGTTTTTTTATTTTTTTAATTTTGTTGGGTTAAAAGTTGGAATAAAATAAATAACGTTATTTAGGGGGTTAGATGATAGGTTTTGAAATTTTGGGTTTCGGAAGAAATGAAATATGAAAATGGGGTCTCTCGAGATATTTCATCTGCACAAAGGCCACCTCCTTTTCAAGGCAGGTCCTCGGCCCTCCATTGAAGGGCAGAAATTTGAAACCGCTCTCTGATCTGAGCTTTCCATCTTCTCCAAGCCACCTCTCTGGCTTAAATCTGCAGTCTTCTCCCCATATCCACTTGTTGAAGGATTCACGATCAACCCTGCAATTTCCTAATTTATTGGGGTTGTTTTATTTGTTACTATTCTTTTGGGATGTTTGGGATCACAAGATCCCTATTAATTTGGGGAGTTTCCTTCGGACTCGTTCTTTAGTTTTTGTGTATAAATACATTGTAAAGTCTGCTGCAAAGATACAGTAAGAAAAGGGAGTAGAGAGTTGATACTTGTGGATAGGCAAGCTCTGACGAACCATGTTAAAATCTAAGTGCCTTCTTCTTCTTCCTTTCTCACATTTATTTTCAGGGTATCAGAGCAACGAGATCTTGACCTTGAACATCGATAGGACCTCCGATCCGTACAAACAGAGAGAGAGAGACCATGGCTGAAGTCACACCACCAGAAGTGAAGATATTCTCGCTTTCTTCTCACGGTGCACAAATCTCTTTCTTCTCTCTCAAATTTGTATTAGCATTTTCAGGACCTCGAGCCCTAAGCAACATGACATGTTTTGACCAAGGTTGTTTGCTTATCTGAAATTGGGGTTTTATTGATATATTTGTGGAAAGTCGAAAGTCTTGGGGTTTGCTCTGTGTCAGTGTTTGGTTGCTACTTCTTTTAAAAGTTAGAGATTAGTCTCGATCAAGGGTTTTGTTGTTTCGTTTGAAGTAGTAGGGTTTCTCATCGTTGTTCTGGTGGCTGGGTGCTTATGCTCATAATGAGCTTGGGTTCGAATCCTCTACCCTGATGACGCCTCTAAATGTGCAACCCTCTCTTTCTCTCTCTACAAAATCGCGATCTCTCTTTCCAAATATATGTGTTTTTTTCCCTTTCCATTTTTTTTTGGCGCTGTATTTTCCTTGCAGAACTGGTGGTTGTGTTCATCAGTTTTTTTAATCTGAAATTTAGATTTGGTGGGGGTGTTATTCTTTGTTATTTTGCTGGAATCTCTTTTTTTATCGTCACATTTATCATCTTCAGTCAGATCATTTTTTCTTATGGCTAATAAGGATAGTAACTCTAAATTTTCTACACATGATTTTGAGTCCAACACTAGTATTAAACTAACTACTACCCCGCTCAATGGACTCAATTATATTGCCTGGTCAATGGCTGTATCTCCGGCCTTGAGTGGAAAGTCTATGTTTGGGCATGTAACTAGAAAGATAAAGGAGCCTAAATCTGATGATCCTACATTTGAAGATTGGCAAGCCAAAGTTCAAATGGTTATGTCTTGGATTTTGAATTCCATGCAACTTGCAATTGTTGAAATATTCACCCACTCAGACACAGCTGAACAATTATGGGAATCTATTAGGTCTGTATATGGTAACCAAAATAATACATCTCGCATATATCAATTGAAGCAAGAAATATCCCAAGTTAAACAGGAAAAGTTAGTAATTGAGTTAGTTGCCAGTCTCAAACCAATGTGGGATGAGATGGCCACTTATACTACTGCCACTACTGGCTTGGCCGTCATCCAAAAACGTGTTGAACATGACCAAGTTTTTTAGTTTCTTGTTGCTTTAAAACCTGAATATGAGAGCTTTAGAAGTCAAATATTAATATCAACTGAACTCCCTAGTTTCACAAGGGTTTACTCTACTGTCTTAAGAGAGGAAACTAGGAAGAAGGTAATGAATCCTGAAAAAAATAATATTGAGGTGATTGAGAAATCTGCCTTTGTTGCAAATAATGAGAAGTTTGAAACAAGAAGTCTATTAATAATGAAACAAGAGGAGGAAGTAGTTTTCGTGGACGTGGTAGAGGGCGTCGAGATGGAGGAAGGAACACCTTTAAATGTGATCATTGCAAAGCTCTTGGTCATATAAAAGACCGATGTTGGCTTTTACATCCTCACTTGAGACCTTCAAAGGGTATAGGAGGTGAAAGAATTGGCTCCCAAGCATCCACAACTGATTCACAAATTACTCTGAAAAAATTGCTCAATTTTTCCAGCAGTATGGTAAGAGTGGCAATATCTCCTCACATGACTCTCCCCAAGAAACAAGCAATTCCTCACCTTACTCTCCCCAAGAAACAAGCAATTCCTCACCTTACTCTTTTCATTCCCATTCACATATCCATTCTTGGGTTATTGATTCAGGGGCTACTGATCATATGACTAATAATCTCAAGTGCTTAACCAGTTACGAGAAATCTTCTAGTAAGCTTCTCGTATCAATAACCAATGGTTCAATTATTCTGGTTCACGACTTCGAAAAATCTAAAATTGTCTCTAACTTTCATGATTATGAAGTATTGTTTCTACCATCATTCCTTCAAATTTGTTATCTGCGAGCAAGATAACCAAAGATCTAAACTGCAATATTCTTTTCCCTCCTTACAATGTTGTCTTTCAGGATGGGGCCATAGGGAGGAAGATTGGTGAAGGGAGAATTTCAAATGGATTATATATCATTGATCAAGAAAATAAAGCTTTGATGTCTAAGTATTTCAGTAGCAAGTTGTGGCATGCTAAAGTTGGTCACCCTTCTGTTCAAACTTTACGAATTTTGAGTCCTAATCTTAGTATTGATTTTCATGGGTGTGATACTCGTCAATTTTTTAAATAGACCAAACTTCCTTTTTAGAAGTCTAAGCATGATTGTGATGGGCCCTTTCAGTTAGTTCACTCAGGTGTTTGGGGACTTGCCCCTATTGATTCTTATTCTGAGCATAGATATTTCATTGATGATTGGTCACAAGCAACTTCGATATATCTTTTAAAATCAAAAGAAGAGGTCTTTCATACCTTTAAGGAATTTAATGATCTTGTGTCCAATCAGTATAATGCCAAGATTAAAAAATTTTGATCGGATAATGGCACTGAGTATGTTAATAAAAAATTTTCACTAGTCTTAGCATCATACATCAGACCTCATTTGTCGGGACCCCTCAGCAAAATGGGGTTGCTAAAAAGAAAAATAGGCACATTCTTGAGGTTGCTAGGTCCTTAATGTTTGAGAAAAATATTCCAAAGAGATTTTGGTCTGAAGCTGTCTTGACTACCTGTTACCTTATTAATAGACTTCCTAGTAAGGTTCTCCATGATAAATCCCCTCTTAAAGTTTTAAATAAAAGGAAGATTAACATCTCTCACCGGCCTGTTTTTGGGTGTGTTTGTTTTTCTCATATTCTTGATCATAAGCGTGACAAACTTGATTCCCGAGCTAATAAGTGTATTTTTGTTGGATATTCCTCCACAAAAAAGGGTACAAATGTTATAGTCCAATACAAAAATAATTGTTTGTTTTCAGAAATGTTCAATTTTTTGAGGATGAATCCGATTTTCAACACAACTCTGAATTATCTTAAAATATGGCTCAGGGGGAGTATCCTCTTCAAGTTTCTGTTAGTCAAAACAATAGTTCTTATGAAAGAAATCTCAAAAATCAAGAAAATTGGGAGAATTGGAATATTGGCAATGACAATGAGAATGAAGCTGGCAACGACAGTGACACTCCAAGAGGTAATAACCCCATGGCCCATCCTCCCGATCCTTCCCTTCGTAAGTCATCTCGTGTTACTCACCCTTCTTCAAGATTGTAGGACTTTTTTACTTATCATGCTGCTTCTCATCCTACTCAAAATCAAATTTGCTACAAAATATTTCTTCAAAGTACTATGCTTTCTTGAGTTATATTTCGAATAATGTTGAACCCAATAATTTTAATGATGCTTACTCTCAACCTGTCTAGAGGAAGCCATGGAGGTTGAGCTATCGGCCCTTGATAAAACCATACTTGGGATATAGTTCGTTTACCTAAAGGAAAAAAGGCCGTTGGTTGTAAATGTGTTTTCAAAATTAAATACAATAGTGATGGTACCATTTAGAGATATAAGGCAAGACTTGTTGCCAAAGATTTATCCAAACATATGATGTGGATTATAAGGAAACCTTTGCCCATGTTGCGAAGATGGGTACTATTCAGGTTCTTCTTTCCATTGCTGTAAATTGTGGATGGTCTTTGTGGCAAAGGTATGTTAAAAATGCATTCCTTCATGGAGACCTTGAGGAAGAAGTGTACATGAACATTCCTCCAGGTCATTCTAAAGAAGGAAATCGTGAACATACCTGTAGACTTAAAAAGGCTTTATATGGACTCAAACAATCTCCGAGAGCGTGGTATGCAAAGCTGAGTACTACCCTATTAAGTATAGCATTTTAAAAGGGCTCTGCTGACTCTTCCTTATTCAGTAAGAATGGAAAAATGGAATTGTTTTTGTCCTTGTTTATGTTAATGATATTGTAATAACTGGTAACGACAACAAAGGAATCTCAAAGCTAAAAAGATATTTTCAAAGCAAATTTGATATTAAAGATTTAGGACAACTCAAGTACTTTCTTGGAATTGAGGTTGCATACTCCAAAAAAGGAATTTTTATATCTCAAAGAAAGTATGTTTTGGATCTCTTAAAAGATATTGGCAAACTTAAGGTCAAACCTCTTGATATTCCAGTCGACTTGAATAATAAACATACTTTTGATGAAGGGGAACCTCTTGAAAATATTGTTAGATTTCAAAGACTTGTTGGGAAACTAATCTATTTGACTGTTTCTAGGCCAGATATCACTTATGTTAGCCTAGTTAATCAATTTATGCATGCCCCAAAAACTAGTCATATGATTGCTATTAAAAGAATCCTTCAGTATCTAAAATCCAGCCCTGGAAGAGGAATGTGGCTAAAATGTAATAATCACATTGATATTGTTGGATATTCTGATGCTGATTGGGCTGGATGCCCAAATGATCGAAGGTCTACTACTGGGTTCTGTACAATGGTTGGTGGAAGCCTTGTCATTTGGAAAAGTAAGAAGCAAAGTGTGGACGCTAGATCAAGCGCAGAAGCCAAATATAGAGCCATGGCTGCAACTGCAAGTGAACTTGTTTGGTTTAAGTTTCTCCTTCAGGACCTTGGGTTTCAAGTGAAATTGCCAATGAAAATATTTTGTGAGAATCGAGCTGTCATTCATATTGCTTCACATCATGTATTTCATGAAAGGACTAAACACATTGAGGTAGACTGTCACTTTGTCCGTAATAAGGTTCAAGCTGAAATTATTAACACTTCATTTGTTTAAAGTAAAGACTAGTTAGCAAATATTTTTACCAATGCAATTTCAAAGACTAGTTTTTTACAAGCTTTGAGCAAGTTGGCCCAACTTGAGGGGGAGTGTTGAAGGATTCATGGTCAGCCCTGCAGTGTTCTAATTTATTGGGGTTGTATTATTTGTTCCTATTCTTTTGGGATGTTTGGGACCAAAAAATCCCTATTAATTCGGGGAGTTTCCTTCTGACTTGTTCTTTAGTATTTGTGTATAAATACATTGTAAAGTCTTCTGCAAAGATACAATAAGCAAAGGGAGTAAAGAATTAATACTCGTGGATGTAAGCAAGCTTTGTCGAGCCACGTTAAAATCTGAGTGCCTTCTTCTTCTTCTTCTCTTCTCACATTTATTTTAACCACTCCATCCTTCCCATGGGGTAGATATTGTATACGATTATTGTCCCTGGTTCCACAGTGGTGTTGTCCTGTAAAACATCCTTTTCTCGAACTCCCTTGTGGTCTAATGGTAGCGAGGGGTAGAGATGTAGAGTCTTGGATTAGGCGGCGTGGAGGTAGTGGAGCTCGCTCAGGTCCTCGGTACCCTTCTCCTTAAGCTCATCTAAGAACTTGGCCTCGACCTCATGGTGCCTGCTCACGAGCCAAAAGAACCAGGTTAGGGCTGCCCCCGTTGTGTCCCCCTATGTTATCAAGAAGTTCACTGCAACGTCTCTCAGGTATTTGTTAACAGTCCCGAACACATCGCCCTTTGCAAAGATCAAAAGCAGGTCTCCGCAACCGCTACCTCTGCCTCGTGCACTCATCACCTGACGTGCCACAAACTCATCCATGGTGTGCACGCCCTGGGCTAGTCGAGATTCCATGCCAAGTACCAGTCGACGCATCAGCTTCCACCACATGTGCGGCAGGACGTGCCTCACCACAACCGCCTCCATGACCTCATCTGCAGCCTGGGCAAAGCGTACGAGTGGGAGCTCAGGCACAAGGCAGCCGATAGCCTCATTGAACAAGGCCGCACAGGTCGCGTCCACCATGTATCGCATCATGAGGTATTGCAAGTCGACTACCGCCCCCTCTTCAGCAGATCTGTGAAGTATAGGCACCAAGTTGATGAAGGTGAGCTCACGACTCTTTTTCTCAAAAATTGTTCAAAAGGATTTCGAGTGGACATGAGCATTTGCGGTGCGCCACTGAGCCTGCCACTCATCGGCATCGATGTTGAAGATGTTGTCGCCCATGAGCTCCCAGAAAATGTCTTGGAAGTCTGGGCCTTTGGAGAAGTTGGAGAAGCGGGTCTCGAGGATGTACTCCACGTTGCAGGGGTCGCAGGTGAGAACGAGACGCTTTCTGGTGAGGAGGGGACCACAAGCAGTGAAGGTGCCGCCGACGGCATTGTGGACCTCAGCCAACAGCATTGTGGACCTCAGCCAACGGCATTGTGGCGCTGCCTCATGTAGTGGAGCAGGAGGAAGCAGAGGCCGGCAAGTAAGACCTCCGCCCACCCCACGCCGCACAGAACCACCTTCGTCCATGGCTTTGGCAGAGCAACAAATGAGACCGCCTGTTTCTTTCAATGCTGTCGCATTGATTATGCCGGATTTTGTCTTCATTTCTTTCTGTTTCCGAGGAATGGAGTGGCATGAATGGTGACGTCAAGCAACACTGCATCTCAACATCACTTCCTATTACTGAATTGGGAAACAAACAACAAAGAAAAGGAAAATTGTTTCTAGAGGGCTTGATCGCATGTGTTCCATAAAAACAATGGAAACTAATGCTCCAAATGTTTTCTTCCTAAAATTACTATTTTAAATTTTAATTTTAATTTCATTTTATTTTTTCATGTTCATGATCTCCATGTTAGAGATTATGTGTCCTTAAAAATTAAGTTCAAAAATTTGTCTCAAAATTAAATTTATTAATATGCCCGTATGTTTACTATGCGAGCTTGGAACCCACATATGAGACACTAGAGTCTTGATAGTTTAGAGAGAGAACTAAATAAAATCGAGTAGAGAGAGAGTTTAGCCCACTGGTGAACCACTTTATATAGAGCCCCACAAGGTAGTTGTGCATATTTACTGTAGCAGTAGTTATATGCACCACCAACAACAACAAATTACATGTAGCCCCATAACTAACTCACTTGATGGTTGTGTAAAGTGCACCCACATGCACACCCGCTTACATGCACCTTCTATCTCCTTTGTATTAAGAGTATTTAACATGAGAATACGTGCTCTTAAATACAGCTCAAGAAACTCTCTCCTCTTCAATGTGGGACTCAAACCCACATCTTTCTTTCTCTACGGAACAAATTAGGAAAGAACAATATAACAATAGTCCAAGAAATTTAGGAAGAAAGAAATTTAGGAAAGAATAGTAAACCGTATTGTTGTTTTGAAGTACTCTTAAGCTTTTTTCAAACAAAAAATACTAACACTATTTATCTTTTTTTGATCACGAGGTCACAATCAGTATAGAAAAAATTGAACTGGAACAGTTAACTGGACATGGGCCCAACAGTTCAACTAGCCAACAGGTAAATCTAATCGGACAAGTCCCAATAGTAAAAAAAGTGTTAAAAAAATAAAAAATAAAAAATAAATCTAATAAAATATGAAAGGTATATTTAAAAAATGATTAAACAAAGCACATCCAAATGAAGTTCAAAATTAATGAAAAATGGATTTTAAAAAATCGATTTGTGCCCAAGTGTATTTTTAAAAAATTTCAGAAAAGGTGGGAAAATGTAAAAATAAGTATAAATGGCCAAAAAAATTTCAATCTTTTCCATAATGATAAAAAATATAAAAAAAAATATTACAAATAAAATCCCTTATTTTTTGGGATAGTTATATTTTTAAAAAATTATTTTTGTTTAAAAAAATGCCTGACCAGTCACCAAAACTGGCCAAAACTAGAACTAGCTAGTGACTGGTTTCGATCTAACCAGGTAGTTATCGGTTAGAACACCAAATTTTCTTTCAATGGTCACAATCACTCCTAGTCATTAGATGTCAAATTAGATCTTATAGCCACATTATATGATAAATGTTTTTTTTTTAAACTTTGAGTTTAGTCAATGACATGCTCACATCCATTCTATTTGAGATATAAAGGATAGGAGGGATTGTGACCTCTATGTGCTACAAGTAAATAGTTTCTTTGTATACTTTTTCAATACAAAAATACCTTTTAGAAGATAAGCGTCTGGGAAAGAGCAAGGGTATTTTCATAAAAATCTATTAACACCTCATTTTAGCATTAAAATTATTTTTTTTTGTTTTCTGTGTGTTTTATTGTCATAAAATCGAATAACATTAAAAGTACAATAATGGAGATCAAAACTCATTTTTATAAATATTGAAATAGCTCACTTAAGTCCCGTATTTTTATAGTTATGTTGTATTTTAATTATATTATTGTTTCTATATATCCTATTATGCTTAAATTTTAGGCATCCATACATCCCACCATAACATAGTTACAAAAAATATGAAAATACAATTAAATGAAATAAAGATGAACAAAATACCCCACAAATTGTAAAATCTTAGGGGCATTTTGGTTATTTTATCTATTTTAAAATATTTTTTAGTACCTTTTTAGGAATTTAATAAGTATCAATTCCCCAAGTTTGAGCTCAATCTGATATGTAGAAGGGGAAATAAAACTAAAATACTATGTACACTCCTAAAATTTGGAGTTGAGTGTAAAATATAAAATATATTAGACTATTTTTAAATTTGATAAAAAATGAGATTTTTGTCAAAATTTTCCAGATATTTTGATAAATATCGACACCCTTATTTACAGTGCTCTATCTCACAAGTTTTCTATTTCACTCCCTTAGACTTCGGCTTACCTAGTGGAAGTAGTGTTTTTTAAAACTTGGATAGGTGGAGCAAATCATTCACCCTTTGATCCATGTTAGATCGTTGGATTGCCGATCCAAATCAGGTCTGGATCGATTCGAATTGGTGATTCAGAAAATATTTAAAAACAAATGAAATAAAACAAAAATTGAAATAAAGTTTATCGGGTGGGTATTTAGAGGGACCTAAGAAAATATTTAGGTAAACCGAGCTAGACCCATACCATCTTGGAATCAATTTGGTCTTGACCTATTCCTATCCAGTTCAGCGATCAAAATCAGAAATCAACGGATTTTAGAAAGTTGAGTGGGAGACACTAACTCGCACTTCGAAAGAAAAGTGGTGACTTATTAGAACACTAACTCGCACTTCGCTCCAAAAGTGGTGACTTGCAGCCATCTTTAACTACCCAAAAGAATGCGTTTTGATTTCACTTGGTTGGAAAAATATAGTATATTCCAACTTCCAAGCGACAACAATGGCTGTGGTTTATCAACACAATGGTGTGGGATGGAGAGTAATTCAATTAATCATGTATTTGTTCCCCTCCTTCACTTCTGAATCCACTATGTTAGTAAAAATTAATGGAGCACGGATGAAACCAAATTCGAGGTCAAAGAGGGGTGATGCCGTTAGGCTGGTGATCGCAGAGTCCGAATTTTAATTAAGAACTATCCAATAGAGAGAATGGTCATTTTCTAGAAGCTCTGTAATTTGCCGTGTATTTTATGTGTCTTCTTCTCTTTGGCTTCCCATATTTATAAGGAGAAAATGGGCCAACGTTCATCTTTCTCCAACGGGTATCTTAGAAAAAGCCTTCCCTGATCTCAGGGATACTCATCCAACTCATTCATATGAACATTGAAAAAGGGATTTATAAAATAAATAATTATTACACTTTTATGAATGGATAAGTATAATGAAACATGGGATTCCTCCCATAGAATTAATGAAGCCTATAATTGTAGGCAAGACCACGTGAGGCCTCATGACCATACGTGTCAACACCTCTGATTTGGCTATGACGGCTGAGCCTAATAATAAGTCACAGGCATACTCTCACTTTTGAGTATGACCTTTAAGGCAATATCTTTTCATGAGGTTTTTCTCACACTTTCACGGATATGTATCTCATAACAAATGTCCATCATGGGGATTTTCACTTAATGCAGATTTGTTACTCATTAAAACTGACTAACTTAATCATTTTTAAGTCCCATTAAGCTAATGTACCTTAGAATTTTTTTTACTGCTTTCCAATAAGTTATGCCTGAATTATTTTGATATCTACTAACAAGCCATACGACATGGCTCAAACTATGGTCATGTATATCTTACTGCATATACCAAGCTACCAATAGCTTGTGCATAGAGAACGTTAGATTTTTCTTGTTCTTCTACTAAACAATCCTTCCTAGATAACTTTGCTCCCTTTTCAACACGAGTAGAAAATGGTTTACAATTTTTCGTTTGAAATGTTTTGAAAACATAGTCAAGATATATCTCTTGGCTCAAGCACAACATTTTTTATTTTCTATCTCTAGTTATTTTTATCCCTGGGACATAAGATATTTATATCATATCTTTCATTTCAAACTGAGAAGAAAGCCATGACTTAGTTTTATCAATAATTTCTAAGTTATTTTTAGCTAATAAGATATCATCGACATATAATGAGAGCATTGTGAATTTAGTCTCACTCTTCAAGACATACACACAATGATCCAATCTATTTACGTCATATCCCATCTATAGGATGGCATCATGAAATGTCAAGTGTCGTTGTCTAGAATATTGTTTTAAACCATATAAAGACTTATTTAATTTATATAATTTATTTTTTTGGCCTTTAATTATGAAGCCCTCAGGTTGCTTCATGTTAATGGTTTCTTTTAGTTCACCATTCAAGAATGTAGTCTTGACCATTTGGTAAAGTTCTAAGTCATAATATGCAACAATTACCAAAATTATTCTAATGGATATAAACATTACAACTGGGGAATACGTGTCGACATAGTCGACTCCCTTTATTTGGGTAAAACCCTTGGCTACTAACGTAGTTTTAAATTTATCAATTGATCTATCAGATTTTAACTTCTTTTTAAGTACCCATTTATAACCGATAGGTTTTCTATCTGATGGTAAATTACATAGACCCCAAACTTTATTTTTCTCAATAGAATCTAATTCTTCTCTCATGGCATTAAGTCATTCTTGAGATTTTGTGAATTCATAACATCATTGAAGTCAAAGGGGTCATGGATTTCATCTAAGTCAATAAGGTTGTCTACCTCCTCACTCATATAGACATAGAAATCACCAAGGTATGATGGAGGAGCTCTAGACCTCTTTTGATCATTTAACATTGGTTGTGTGGGTACTTCAACATCATTATGTTGATCAAGGTTATTCATATCCAATGTAGGCAGTAGTTCTAAGTCATTTATGATATTAAGTGGACTATCATTATCCACTACATGGAGGTTTTCTTCAATAAAATCTTCAAGGAACTCACCATTTATGCTTTCAATGAGGCATTTATCTTTATGATAAAATCGATATCCCTTTGAACTTTCGATGTATCCTAGAAAATTACAAAGTAGAGTTTTGTTTTCTAAATTATTTTTATGCTGATATGGAATTAAGTCATGTGCAGTCAACCCCACTTATTTAAGTTGGTTAGATCAGGTTTCCTGCCTATCCATAATTCATAAAGGGTAGAATTTATTGCCTTAGTTGAAACCCTATTAAAAATATATATGGATGTGCTTATTTCTTCTCCCTAAAAGGTCTTGGGTACACTTGCATGAGTCATCATGGATCTAGTCATTTTTTAGAGGGTTCTATTACACATTTCAGCTATTCCATTTTGTTGTAGCATATAAGGCATAATGTTA